CACCCGTCGCTCTCTTTAAGGTTAATCGTCGCGGTACACGACGCGATCATGCTCGTCGTACCTCCTCGGAGGGAAAACACCACCACTCTCGCTCTCAGCACCCGTCGCTCTCTTTAAGGTTAATCGTCGCGATACACAATGCGATGACGGCCACCGGCCACGGCGAGAATGACCACAGAACATATAAGAGAATGACGCAATCCCCGGTAAATTCTTGTAATTATTATCATGATTGGTCAAAAAGCTTGGATTCCCGAACATTGCCGAAGCCATATTCTTAAGCACAGACTTCGTCAAGACGATCTTAAGCTCAAAACTTGTGTTCTCAAGATTTATCTATGCATGTAAAGCCGTCTTCAGACGGTTTTCGATCTTAAGACCGTCTTGGCCAAGATCATGCTTAAGACAAATCTTGAGCAACGTCTATGAATTCCGCCCTTAGTGTTTCATGTAATAGCGTTTTGTGTAACCATGGTGCGTAATGTAGCGAGGTGTCTGTCGCGCCGAGGTGGACCGTATTGTCGCAGAACGGGGGAGTAATGTTTGCGCAATCACGTCCCGGGGCGTGAGGCACCTGTCTTGGATCTTTGATGCTTTTTGCAGGAGGCCCGCGTCTAGCCATTTTGGGACCATTTGCGAGACGTCGCGGATGGTTATTCGGTCGTTGGAAAATCGACGCGCGTAGGTATTGTGTCTTGCGTTTGTGTAATCGCGTATTGTGTATGGCGGTCGTGTAACTGCGTCTTATAAGTTGCGTCCTTAGGCTAACTTCCGCGGTATTGTATCTCATAGTTTCCGCGTTCCGCAGCCAAACATTCGAGAGAAAAATTGTAATTCACCGATTCATTTTAAAGAAACCTGCCGATTTATTCTGAAGTAATTTCTAAGATTGTAATTCACCGATTCAATCTAAAACAACTTGCTGATTTATTCTCACGTAATCTTTTCTGTCAAATACATTATATTTGTGTTATTGGTAATTGCGTGTGTTAACTGCGCTATGTTCCCTCTCCTCCTCCGACCGCGATTACCCGAAGAAACTCACACCTGAGTGAATTGCGATCTTGTGGATCGTGGTGCGAGGAATCGCACCTTGCGCCCAATATTTCGAGGAATTATTTAGTCGAGCTACCATATAGGTTTCTGAGAGTCTTGTCGTGACTGATTTTTCGTAAGATCTTTAATGAATAAAGCGACGGCGCGCTCCTTCACGGCCGGCGAGACCGTGAGGATATCGTCGTTGTTGTCACAAAGCCTAAGGCAATAGGGCATACAAATCCCCAAGCCGAGGGCTGAGTCTCAACAGATCGCAGCGTGGTAACTGCTCTACCGAGTACAACACCCCGCCAGGTACCTAAGTCGTCTACAGACGATTCCGAGTCTCGACATCGAACTTGCGAAACTCATGTTCGACCGTTAGACGCCGTGCCGTCGTAAGCGGTGAGATCCCGACGACGGGCAGAAGCGCCGTACGGCAAACCGGGCACGTGCGACGACCGGCTCGCGAGAGGACCGGCCGCCTAGTAGTGTGTCACATTGTTTTGAGCCTTTCGACTCACGAGACTCCTATTGCGGGTACGGCCGCCTCGGTCGGCCCGCGGTCGGCCGTAGCAGCCCCAGGATCGTGGGCCGATCGAAGGATAAAAAAGCGACGTCGCTATGAACGCTTGGCCGCCACAAGCCAATTATACCTGTGGTAACTTTTCTGACACTTCTTGTTGAAAACTCTTCAAGCCAAAAAGATTGATAGGCCGTGCTTTCGCAGTCTCTATGCGTACTGAATATCGAGATTTTGCCCTTTTGCTCTACGCGAGGTTTCTGTTTGCGCTGAGCTGGCCTTAGGACATCTGCGTTATTCTTTGACAGATGTCCACGCGGTATACATTGGGTGATGCTAATGCCGACGGTGCACTGATTATAAGAATATACACACACCTACATTTACACGCACATACACAGACATACCCCCCCACACACACACTAACACACACACACACACACACACATACACACACTCTCACATGCTCATACGGACATACCCACACACACATATCCACGCACATGTACGCGCGCGCGCTCACACACGCACACGCACACACGCACGCACTCACACGCACACGCTCATACAGACATACCCACACACACATACCCACGCACACGCGCGCGCGTACGCACGCACGCACACACACACACACACACACACACACAAATGCGACCCTAAAAAATTATTGCCGTGGATACTCTAAAATAGAATATCCCCAATATCCTCATTTTTACCATGTTCAACGTCTGATAACTTGAAAAGTAGATGGTTCCGGACTTCGTGCCTATTAACACTTTTGATCAGGAGATTATAAAATACAACATATTGCAGTTTCAACCAATTTGACCGGGATCCACTTTCCCTATGACTGGGCCCGGGGTCCATATTGTATTTTAAAAAATTTGTTTACCACCGCTGGATTTGAACTAGAAACCCCTGACTCTTGAGTCAGT